AGTTGACACTTTCAGGTGAGCATTGTGTAGATCACATAACACTTGGAACTTATACAAATCTTGCGAATGGATGTTCAGTTTTACCGGGTAGTCATCTTGCATCTGAGACAATGATTGGCAATTTAACACGCGTCTCTCGAGAGACAAATAGTAACACAGGCGATGTTTTTATTGGTGTTCCAGCTTGTGTCATGCCATTCAAAATGCCTTTGAGATCATCATCAACAACAACAACAGATGAAATGAAAATTACTCCTATTTGGCATACATGTTTTTCTTATTTCATCAGTAAATCTCTTCTCTTAACTATTTATTCATTAACTGGTGTCGTTGGTATGTTAATTATTCATACAATACTTATTTGTATTTTCTACCGGTATCGCTCATATATACACTATCCAATAGTACAACAAATAATTTCAAGACTAAGACAAGATCATCAACAATTCATTTGTCCATTTCTTGGCAATACACAATGTTTAATCAATTTATTTCGTGCATTTGGTGCACGCATTGGTAAAGGTGTTATCATACCTGATGTTTCTTGTCTTACTGATTATCATTTAATAACTATTGAAAATGATGTTCGACTTAATATGCATGCTAATATTCAGGTAAATTATAAATATATTTTCTTATACTCTTTTATAAAGAATATTTATCTTTAAATTGTTTTAGTGTCATAGTTTTGAACAACGTATCCTAAAAGTAGCTCCTGTGACAATTAGAAAGTCATGTGTGCTTATGAGTGGTTCATTTGTGATGGCAGGCTGCAAATTGATGGGCAACAATAGACTTTATCCATTTACATTGATAATGAAAAATGATCTCTTACTACCAAATACTCAATGGAAAGGACTTCCTGCAAGTAAGTCATTTACATCAATAAAATCATACTTATTACTAATGATACATAATAAATGATCGCATTTTCTATTGTATACTTTGATTTCTGAATACGTTTCGTGAAAAAACAAAATATACCACAAGATACACCATAAGAAGCCTATTGAATTGCATTTTTCTGAATCCATTTTAGTTCAAACGAGGTTTCATTCGAATAGCATTTGCTCTACTTGATCAAGTACAGATCATTAGTTAAAATGTATTTTTTGTACAGTTAGAGTCGTTACGTTAAAGTTCACTCTTACATAAATTTCATGTGACATTAGACAACATTAAATCATCTCTCACAAAACTAGATCCAGTTTAGTTCGGTTCACAGTGATTCATTTTCAGTTTCTAATTTATTATGAGCCACCCACTATAATACTTTTGGGATGCTATTTAATATTCAGCAAATGGACCTTTGTTTATTATGACTATTCACTATTCATTCAGTTCTACTATTGATGACACGATTCATTTTCACCCTTTATTTTTTATATTGAACTAATTCTTTCTAACGAGACAGACTTATATGATACTGCGTAATTTATATTGTTCTTCAAAAGCTAAAAAAATAAGCTCAATTAAAAAAGGATTGAATTAAATGTACTATTCTGAAATGTCTTTGCTGATAATTCACTTGAAAAATTATTGGATTGATGTTGTCTATCATTCCAATGAGATTATATTCTGAGCTTCTAGATCAATCATTGTATATGATAAACTATACTTATACCTTAGTTAAAGTTAGATTAATTGTTTGTAATCATTGTATACCAATGAATTTATTTTTTAATATACTAAGTTTATTTTTCGTAGGACTTTTGACAACAAAAGCAGCATCATCTCAATCTGCATTGGTTCGTGATAATAAAGTCGAACAACAACAACAACAACAATCATCTGAAAACGTGGATAGCTTGTCTTTGTGGTATGAGTGGATTGCAAACACTTATTCGAACGTTGATGAACTACAATTTATGAATTATGGCTATGCAGATCTTGATGAGCATATTGACGATAATTCCGACTACTGTTCGAAACAGCTATATAAACAGGTAAATAATCAAAAATGAACAATATAGAGTTCAGTGTTTTCTTTGTACATTGGGCGTACAATAAATAGAATTTCCTTTTATTGGATGTGCGATCAACAGAATATCTACATCTTTGAGATATAATAATTAAGACTAAAATGTTCTGCTCTTCGATATAGGTCCTTGCACACGTATCACTTACAAATCAGAATGTACTTGAAGTGAGTTGTGGTAGAGGTGCTGGTGCTGTTTGGTGCGTCCATAATTATATACCTGGTTCTTATGTGGGAGCTGATCTTTCTTCCGGTGTCATTGATGTGTGTCGACAACGCCATTCGACGATTTCTCGACTTTCCTTCGTAGTAGCTGATGCAACAAAATATTTACCATTT